CTGCAAGTCTCAGTTGGCAGAATGAATGCAGAGTGATCAATTAATCAATCAAGAAAGGACCAACTGATGCTAGTTAAAAAAAGAAAAAAGGACAGCTTCAGTGCCACACCCCAGCCATCAATCACTCATTCTACTTGCTGCTTGCAGGAACAATTTATTGTGATGTAGATGGCAGAGACAGGTGCCAGAACCCTGCTAAATGTCTGCTCTTTGAGCACCTGGCTTCTATACAAACGATCCTTATACAGTTCTTCCTTTAGGGGAGGGGTCTTTTAGCTCCTGCCCACCCCAGCTTTGCTACCTTGCCACAGGCAGGCAGGGATCTCCTGTTCCTGACCTATGGGCTCCACCCCAAGATGGGTCAGCACTCTCCATTATACATCTTTCCCATCAAACTGGCCTGGAGGAGGGGACTGACCAGTAAAGGAGGAACAGTTACACTTTCTACAGAGTACACAGCCACCAGAGCACAAGCAGGCACAAGAGGCAGGACAAACTTCAAAAAGGCCCCTATTCTGAGACCCTAGCTGGGGTATGAGTTTCAAAATGGGCTGCCCTCCTTATAGACTGAAAGACAGGATTGTGCGCACCAACTTCCTCCACAAAGGAGGCAGTTAAGGAGCCAGCCTTAACTGCCTCCTATCTGTTCCCCTTCTGGTCAATGTGCACCTCTAGTGCCTGGGGGGCAGCACAAGCCTCCAACTCTTATCCAACACAAGCCTGTCTGCCTGACAGATTCGCTCCCACCATCCATCTCTAATGCCTTCCCTCTGCCTGCTGGGCTTGTCCACAGTCCTTTGGCCTCCAGCATTCAGAGCCCACAATGCTTCAGAGTCTGGAAAATTCCAGCCTCAGTGTCCCTAGGTAACATACCTTCTCCCCCGTGTCCAACCTGAACACACTTTCCTACATCCCTGTGCACTCTTGCTTCTGTTCTTTCTGTGGAAATTCTACCCATCTTCCATGACCCCTCTCAACCAGTAAGTACCACCTCCTTCCAGAAGAACCCTGGCTGGCCCCACTGTGTCCATTCCATTCCCAATATTAGTGTGCAAGCAGCAGGGAACTGGTCAGATGCACCTCCTCCAGGCTGCAGAAGGCCCCCAGTACAACAGCTGAGCACTGTGTGCTAACAAGCCTGAGCCTAGGGCTCTCAGTGTTCTCTCAGCACCCTATTTACAATCCTTTCTGCACTCCTTCCTCCTTCTCACTCCCAGCTGACTCATTCTCAAGGTTCAGCTGATAGCTAACTGGAGATAAAGGAATCTCTACCAGCACAGTGTCCCTCCCAGTCACATAAGGTGTTTTTATCAAAGGTCCTCTGCAGACCAGGGCTGAAAACAAAGATAGAAATTTCAAGCCCCAAGATTCTGGGGGGTGTTTTCACAAGTAACTGTCTCAAGTCCAAGGCTGACCATTGCTACAATATATATGCTAGAGACAGGCAGACTCTGTCCTTAGTTAAGAAGGCTAAAGGCAGGCCCCCAGTACTTGGGAGGCTGAGGCTAGCCCTGACTGCACAGTGAGACTTTGTCTCAAAAAAAGAAAAAAAAGAAGTTTGACTGCAAAGAAAGACTTCACTTTGACCTTGAGCAAGGAACACATCTCTCTGGTCTGTGCTCAAAGCCAAGAAGCTCCTCAGCCTCGGTTTCTCCGTGGATAAACACAGAGGCAGGGGTGAGAACCACCTGGTCTTAAATGGCCCTTCCAAGCTAACACACAAGTTTCTGTAATCATGGACTCACCTCCTCCTCCCCATTTGAAATCACCCTAGTTCTCCTCTCTCCTCACCTCAAGCCCCACCTGAGTCCAAAGGGAAGGGTAAACTCCAGGCCTCCCAGTCAATCCACAGGCAGCATATGAGGGCAGGCTCAATCCTGCAGGTGGAAGGAAAGGGCAGGAGTGAGGAGGGCCATGGTTGCTATGGACACAGAAATGCTTCTCTCATTCAGCAATCTGTCTGAGCTCAGAAAAAAAAAAAAAAAGAAAAAGAAAAAGGTTGGTTGCCTTTGCTCCTCTGGCCTACCGTTTTAAGAGATTACAACTGTCTGCTATATTTAAGTGCTGCTCTAAAATCGGGACATATAAGGTCTCTCAGCCTGGATCTGAACGGTTTCATAATGGGTACAGCTAGAGAGAGAGGAAGAATTAAACTAGGAGGCAATATTGTGCTGCCACTTAGAGATCTTTAAAAATAGCCTCTCTCTTTTCTCATGCTGAAGATGACAATGAAGTTTCAGTAATAAACAGACATGTACCAGAGCTTCGAAGAGATACAACATAAACACCTCAGAGCGCAGCCATAAACAGAGAAGCCCTCTCTAGGCAGCATGCTGCTCACCACGGGGAGGAGGGAGACCCAGAGCCCATAACAGTGTGGAGGGAGCCACAGGGGGGAAGGCAGAAAAGGAGGTGGTGTTGAGAGCCTGGGGAGGTAGGCTCCCCGACATACAGAAGAAACTGGCCAGGAGAGCTTAGTTTGGTAGAAAACAGAGAACTGGTTAAAAGCCCAGGACCCACCTGCAGGACTTCCAGGAAGCCACCTAGAAGAGTCCATGCCAGAGCCACTCATTAGGGAAATGGGCAACCAGTTAAAAGTGGAAAAACTGTGGACATGGTGGCGTACACCAGCACTCTGGAGGTTGGAGGATTCAAGCTTGAAGCCAGTCTGGGCTACATGGCAAGACCTCGTCCCAACAAGGTAGAAAAAACTGACATTTCTTAATGTATACCTATGCAAGGTTCTTCGCAAGTATTTTAATTTCATCTCTACAGCAATCCCTTGACATAGATGTAATTACCTCTTTTATAGGCTAAATATTAGGGTTCATTATCTTACCCTAGGTCATCACACGGCTAGGATTCTGTCTCAGCACATGTTTGTTTGTTTTGTCCAAATTACCTACATCAAGACCATGCCCCAGAGGTTTATTCTCAGTGCCCAGTTTCTCTGAACCCCCAGACTTAAGGGTGCTGCTAAAGGGGAGAGGTGACAAAGTAGGGTAGAAGAACGAGTCATTAGGTTTTGGCTAATTCAAATCATTGCTGAATGGCTGCAGCCCTGTAGACACTGTTTCTTCGTATCTCGGTCAATTCCCAGCAGGCCTAAGGAAAAGCAGAGAGTGAAGCAGGCACAGGATATGCCACAAGGCATGTCTTCAAGGATCCATAGGAGACTGGGATCAGCAGCTTTCAGTGAAAGGGAATTGGGGACTGGAGAATAGGGCAGGGAGACTCAATTCTCATTGAATTCCCCAGTCAATATTTTGCCATGCATCTATATACAGTGATAGTGGAGGGTGAGTAGCATGTATCCATGCACATGGGATGGGGAGATTAAGCAGCTTTAAGAGCACCCCAACATATCAGACAGGTAACAACAGACATACCCAAGCTGGAGATGGAGACCCAGACCAAACACGAACTCCTGGTACTCCTAGCTGAGGAAAACCTGGAATCCAGAAGCAGCCTGAGATTTCACTCAATGCCCCCTCCTTGCCTCACAACAGTAGTATACTGCCACTCTAGGCAGGTGGATGGCCAGCGCTTCCAGCATGGGTTCACAGTCCCCTTGGCCCCAGCTGCACAAGCCCCTCCTGACATTCCTTGAGGAAAGAGATAGACACTCCCCCTAACTGGGGATACTGGAAAGAGGCCTTCCTGATTCTCTGATTGTTCCTCCACTCTGCTTGCCCTCTCATGTGGCTGTCATACATCTCCTTCCTTCAAGCAGGGAGCTCCTGTCTTTACCACTCTTGCATCAATGTTTGCAAGGCCCTGCTGTCCTGACCCAAATTGCTCAGCGTCCTAACTTCACAGTTGCCACAAACCCTGTGTACAACACCCCAACCACCCATTCTGCTCCCTTGAGATGAGCAAGGGTCCAACAGAGGCATCAGCAGCCAGGCCCCCCATAGACCCTGGGCCTACTCTGCTCCAGGGAACAGCTCTCCTTAGTGACCAAAAGGTCCATATGACTTCTCCAGGTGCTTCTTCATCCTTCTCTACTCTTCATTCTTCTGGCTCCCAGAACAAATGACAACAGACACAATGAGTACTCAGATAAGTGGCCAAGACCAGCATTCAGTCCTGAGAGCAAAAGTCATCTCTGTACCTCAGTGCACTGACACTACAGTGGCGAGGCCAGAGCAAGGTGTTCCTAGACTCCTGTTCCTGTCTCTGGCATGTGCTGAGCTTCTCGGGGCTGCAAACGTCCACAAGCCTGGTATTGCAGTCACTCAGGGACCAGTGGCCCCTGTCCAACTTCTTGCTGCCAGCTGAAAGGACATCAGCACTGGACATCCCAGGGAAGGAGAAAAACCAAAGCCGCAAAGCAGTGGGAAACACTATTCTTGTTCTCGTGCCTACCCTTCCCTCTGTATTCCCCAAAAGAAATCTGAGCAGCCATGGGAGGAATGCAGGGGCCACAAGCTATCTGACAGCTGCTAGAGGTGGAGATTTAGGGTGGGGAAAAGGAAAGCCGGGAAATTACTCTGGCTCTCAGGGGAGAGAAACATTAGTTCAAATAAAGAACACATTAAAAACATTAATCCTAAAAAACACAACACTATCCACATCCACACAGCTCCCTGCCAGACTCCACTGAGACAGGACAGATTTTCCCATGATGAACTGTAGCAGTTGTGAATGATACAAAGCAATTCCATTTAAGAAACCATACCATACCTGGCCTTGCAAAATGCTCTGTACTTAGGGCAGGAGGTGTGTCTCAAGTGGTGGAGTGGTGCCTGCCTAGTAAGGGCAAGACCCTGGATTCAAACCCCAGTGCCACCAAAAGAAAAAAAAAAGAAAAAGAAAGAAAGAAATCTAATTTAGGGCTGGGACTATATCTCATTAGTAGAGTGCTTGCCTGGCATGCATGAGGCCCTGGGTTCAATCCCCAACACCACAAAACAAAGCAAAGCAAAACAAAAAGCTCTGTACTTGGTGTAAGAGATGAATAGACCTTGCCAGCTGACAGAGAAGGAAGCAGCCTCATGGTGGACCCAGTCTTGTAGTGAATGTTTGTTTGTGACAAGAGGGCCTGCAAAACCTATCACTCCCAGCAGCTCTGAACCTCTGAGAACACATGATCAATGCTTTAGAAGGAGCCTCTTATCTGTCTCGAGCAGCCATATTTTCTACCTTTGGGATGGGTTCCGGGAGGAAAAGAGAAGCTGGTGGTGAAGGGGAGGCCAGGGCACCCCAAAATGAAGGCAAGAAGGTGTTTTCCAGAGGACAAAACAGGTCAGTGGAGCCTAGAACTTGGCCTTGTCAGCTTTGCATTAACACACTATGCCATTTTGTCATCCCTCAAAGCCCCAGTTTACCTTCTAGCAAAACTGGGGATGTTGGGTAAAGTAATAGTCCAAGTAAATATCAAAACCCCAGTAGCTCTGTGGCTTTATCCAAACATAGAGTAGTGCCAAATATATGTATAATTTTGTCTATCCACTCCAAGTCAGGTAGAGTCCTCTTTTTTAAGAGAAAATAAATATTTGCTTTTTCCATTATAAAAATATTTTTACTATAAAAATTTTGGAAAAAAAAACTAAAAAATTAACAAGAAAGGAAAAAAAATCAACTCTAGTGCTGCTATTCAGAGAACGATCAAAATTTTTGTTATAGTTCTTCCTAGGGTTTTAAAAAAATAAAACCAAGCTGGGAAGATAGCTCAATAATAGAGTGCTTTCACATGCAGGAAGTCCCAGGTTCAATCCCCAGCACTATTTTTTTTTAAAGCCAACAAAACCAAACTTCAGTTCTTCATCTTGAGGCCTATTTAGGGAGGGGACTTGACTGGGTGCCCTGGGGGTTAAGAAGACATCTGTCAAAGTGCCAGTGCCTAGGAGGAGACTGGACAAAAGATGTCCGTCTGTCACACACCATCAAAAAGAATAGGTACATCTTCCCTTTCCTTCCTGAGCACATGGTCTCCTTCACCAGGTTGCCCACAAAGTGCCACTGATATTATCTCTACACAACAAATGCAAACAAGACATGTAAAGGCTATGCATGATCATTTTCTGTCACCACCTGCCCCAGGTGCAAGCAAGCAGTGATTTGGGAAGGGCTCAGGCTAGAGAAGGAAGGCACAAAGGAAGAAGCCCTGCTCAGAGAGGGAAGGAAGAGATGTTTGGTGTTTTCCAACAAGCCCAGCGCCAAGAATCTAGGTCATAGCGTGCTCCTGACTGTGGCGGAACCCAAACCCTGGACAGAGTGACTTCAACCCGTCAGCCCCCATGTGATCTGCGGAGGCCAGCTGCTGATCAGGGCACAAATGTGGCTGTCTGGGCTCCTCACCACAAACCAGAGCCACAAGGGTGAGCACAGCAAATGGTTCTATTATTTCAGGATGTTTACAGATCCAACGCTTGCTGTGGAAACGTTCGCACGTGAGCAAATCATCTTTTTTGTAAACCTCTTATCCAAATACAGGCACAGTAGTTACACAGACCCATGACAGGGTTCACTCACTGAAAACACATTACTTCAGTGGCTGCAATACAGCTGGACAATGCTCACTGACTTTCTGCCTCATCCCACTCCCAGGGCTTGGCAGTGTGGATCCGGGATGGCACAGAGCAGACTTCAGTCCCAAGGGGAAACAAGCACTTACTTGGTAATGAAGAGGAGGGAAGCTTCTCAGATTAAAACAGGCACAAAAGGACCGATGGCCAAATGCAGCACACACACTGCATCCTGACTCCAAGAAACTACCTCTAAAGGTCACTTCTGACCGCCACGCGTATCTGAATAGGGACAGGTGATACCAAAGGACTATGGCTGATGCTATTGTGTGCAATCGTGACATATGGTTTTACAAGAGGATGTTTGTTTTAAAAGAGATGTATACTGGGTTGCCCAGGGACAAAATGACGTGACATCAGAGAACTGCTTAAAGACACTTCAGGAAGAACTCAGGGATAGGATAGGAGAGAGAGACATGACAGTAGTATAATCTTGAGGCTGATGGCACCGGGTGAACAAGTATATGAGGTTCATTGTACAATTCTATTTCTGTGTGTTTGAAAATATTCATAATAATTATTTTTCTTTTTGAGATCAGGTCTTGTGTGTAACCCAGGATGGCTCTGAATTCTCCATTCTCCTACTTCAGCTTCCTACAAAATATTTTTAAATTCAGGACTGCAATCTATTATGAAAGATATCCTATCGGAGACTGGTATAAAAGTTTGTGAGTGTTTTAAATGCTACTTCATAGTGGGGTGAGAAGACATGTCCACACGTAATTAGAATGTAAGGTGGGAATAATGACTGTAGCAGAGGAGCTGGAGTTCAGAAGACAATCACAAGGTTTTCCTGCCTCCTATAGCATTTAATCTGCCCCTCCCCCAACAGAGGTTGCAATTTTAACTCATCTCACTAACTGTTTGATGGGGACAAGTTGTAATTTTTTTTTTTTTTTTTGCGGTACTAGGGTTTGAACTCAGGCCCTACACCTTGAGCCACTCCACGAGCCTTTTTTTGTGCAGGGTTTTTTGAGATAGGGTTTCACTAACTATTTGCCTCAGGCTGGCGATCCTCTTGATCTTTGCCTCCTGAGTAGCTAGGATTACAGGCATGAGCCACTGGCGCCTGGCCTAAATTGTAATCTTTCTGAGACTCAGTTTTCTCATCTGTAAAATGGGGATAGCTGCAGTTACTTCTTCAGAGGGCTAGCATGGGGCTATAAGGATCTAAAGAATGAAAAATCCCTGTCTAGTGAACAGTATTCTCTTCCCTAGCTCTCTGAAGAACACAGACTGTTAGCTCTCCATGGACTTCTAAGATTAGCAATGTTCAGCCCAAACCTTCTTGTGCCTATACCACAAGCCCCCTCCAGCCAGAGCCAACTCTATACTAAGACGACAGAACCTCTGCTCTTCAGCAGTGGGGAGTGAAGGGGAAGGCCCATGGCTGGAAGGCAAAACCAGATGGGTGCATGGAGCTGGGTGGAAAGAATAGAGACACACCCCAATCATAGGCAGAAAAGGAATGGGGATTAGCTGGCTGCTTCTTGCAGCTCCTAAAAATGGGCTTCCACATCTACAACTAGCCACAGCCCTTAAGTTAATTTATACTAAAGTGTAATCAATTGGTATCAAGCTAAATCTTGGATTTTCTTTTAGAAGAAGGAATGAGCAGAATATCAAAGCCCTGGGCCTGAAGAAAGAAGAGAGCAGGGATAAAAGTGATGTCATACTTTTATAAAGGTATATTTAAACTGTGGATTTCAATCACCCCACAACCACAACTAGCATACCCCAATGTCCACCTCCCCTTTCAAAAAAAAAAAAAGAGAGAAATTTTTTTAAACTAGAATTGGTTCTAAGATCAAGGTTATTTCAACAAGACAGTTCTTCTAGACGATTGAAAAAGCCAACTCTCAGAGGTGAGACGAAGTCAAAATAGCATCCAAATATCAGCAGTCAATCCCTCCCCCATTATATCATGGCTGACATTATCTGTCTCCTCTGACTGAAGGTCAGGATGAGTAACAGACTTGCAGATTGAACCACCTGAGCTGACCAGGTCGGTTTAAGTGCTTTGTCAAAGCATCTCCTGAAATCCTGGTGGACAGAATCTTTCAGAGGCCAGGAAGCTCCAGTCAGCCTAGAGTGGTGCAGACCCATGCACAGACCACGACTTCCCACAGCCATTGGGCAACAGGAAGGGCAATGGGACAGACCTTAGCACCTACAGACCCAAGGTTTGGCTCAGACATTTTCTCTTTCCCCATTTCACTTTTTAGAGCGTTAACCATGAAGTCAACTGCAAAATTTGCACTGTGAACAGAAAACCCACCTCTCTGCTTGAAGGGTGGTTCTTACTACAATTAAAGTTTCCAGGACATCTTTGGGGGCTGTCTTGGGCACTCCAGGCCCGCCTGTTGAGCCACTGCCCCTGGCACAGAAAGGGCACAGGTGCCAGAGAACCCAGGCACACAAACGTGAAGAGCCAGCTGGCCACTGGCTTTTTTTTCCCATGGGACATGCCCACAAGGGGCTGGTTAGTGACTTCATCCTTCACCCTAACCGCAGAAGACTGTAATGGGCAGATCGGAGTGGCAGCGAGAGCGCCAACACACCGCTGCAAGCTCCGTGGACCCTAGAGCTTACAAATGAAAGCTCTTTCCGCTTTAAGAACACAGGCCCCAGAATAAACAATGTGGAAGGAGACACACGTTTACTCTGGTTTCAACACGCCTCTTCCCCATCCAGTAAAAGCCCTTCCCAGCTCCGCCGGTGAGGCCGGCCGGGGATGAAGTTAACCCCACCTGCTCCAGCCCCGCAGCAGGGTCAGCCAGACAACGACAGGGTGGGCGTCACGGACGCCCCGGGCCTGGGGTGAGCGCGGGCTGCTGGGGGCGCGCGACGGAGAGGACAGTGGCGCGGCCCCGGACTCAGCTTGGGTCCCAGCCCGCAGCCGGCCAGGCCACTAACATTGGCCCAACTTAACTTCCTGTTACCAAAGAGGGAAGGGAACAAGGGGAGAGGCAAAAAAAAAAAAAAAAAAAAAAAAAAAGGCAGCCGGTGAAAGGAGCCGAGCCCGAATCCTGGGAAGCAAAGTTTGGGAACGGTCTTCTGCCCGATGATAGGCGACACAGCTGGCACGTGTAGCCCACTCCACGCTGACGTTTGGGAATTTCTAGGGTTAGAATTGCAAGGTCTGGGTGTTGGAGGGCGGAGTAAGAGGTAGCTCGGAGTACCAGTGGGAGGCTTTTTACTACGTTTTAATTGGTTGAGACCTGCCTGGGCTGCCTAGGGCTCCACCGGCAGCGCCACCTGCTCGCTGCGCGCCACGCGGGGTGGGTTTGAGGTCGGGATGCCGCAGCCGCACCTGATCCTTCCCAGCGCGGGATAGGGCGCAGAGTCCAGCCGCGGCTGGCACGGTCCCCACCCGCCCGAGCCCTCCCCAGAGCTCACGCCGTCCCCACCTTACCTAAAATTCCCTAGCTGCCGGGGCCTCGGATCAGTGCCGGCTTCCGCCTCGGGCTGTGAGAGCAGCAACCGGGAGTCGCCCGCCGCTTGCGGAGCCCAGAGCAAGCGAGGCGGCCCCGCGCAGGCTTAGCCGGCCCGGCGCCTGCAGTTCTGCGCTGTGCGGCGAACTGGAGTGGGAAACGCCCCTATTGGCGAATCGGCCAATGACAGGGCATCCGGGGGCAAGTCCCCGCCCGCTTCCCGAGACGCACGGCCAATGGCAGTGCGGCGCGGAGTCCACCCCCGCACTTGCCCCGCCCCGCCCCCCGTAGGGCCGGCTGTCACCGCCGCTGCTGCTGGTGCACGTGGGCTGAAGCCCGGCCCAAAGCGCAGGGAGCGGCCCGGCACTCCCACCCTGACCACAGCACAGGTCCGAGACCATCCCAGGGTTGATGGGAGCGGGGCGTAGAGGCGCTGCTAGATTGAAACCCGGTGTGGTATTCCGGTGCCAAGGAAGAGGTGGGCCTTGCGCTCCTTGGCCTAAGCATCTGGAAAGCAAGCCTCACTGTCCGCTTTTGGACGTGAAGGAGTAGCGTGGGACTTTTAGTACGCCCTGTGGACCTGTCTTCCTGCTATGCTTGGTGACCACTCTGAGCGTCAGCACACCACCCTGCTAGTAGGCCCTCACACTGGTCATGCTTTGGCTAAAGCTGTGGGAAACCACATGTGTTGCCCTGCTCAGATCGCCTACACACCCATTCTGGGACTCTTAAGTACTGCAAAACACCTGTGCAGACCGTGCTAGCAGCAGGGATTAGGAAAATAGGATTCCCATGGACAGGCGCCATGGCTGACTCACCTCTAGGGCCCAGGGCTCATCGTGCGGCTTGGCCCAATGCAGGCATCAGTAAATGTTCTTGGACTGTACTGACCCAGAGGAAAGAAAACAGGCAGGTCTGGGCAGTGAGTAAACAGTAATGTGGCTCCAGGCTGTTGGAAAATCACAGCCCAAGACCACCCTGTTGCAGACCACTTTTCCTTGTCAGGCAACTGCAAACAGCAGTTTGCCCCCTCAAACCTGGGATCTATTTTTTTCTCTACTCCTTATAGTGTGATGTTACTCCTGGCCTTTTGTGTCTTTCCAAGGATATAGGACAATCTTGGGGACAACTGGATAAAGGCAGATAAGCCTCAGGACTTCTTAAGTCAGAGCCCCTCCCCACCTCATACAGGCCACCTTTGCAGACCAAAAGTGGGAGGGAGGGAGGTTGAGAAGGATGGGCACAGAATGTCAGAAACCAAAGCAGTTGGTTTCCTATGAGCTGTCCTGTATCTGGGAATTTGTACAATTTAGCTCTTCAAAGAAAAGATTATTCAATGTTAGTGTGAACCTTACAGTTAATGTTACCTAGTCCTGTATTGAATGAATGAATGAATGAATGAATGAAGGCCCAGAAACAAGGAGGCACTCGTGAAGGTCCCAGAGGAAGCAAGTGGGTTCCATCTTCCCATGCCCTTTCTCACTCAGTATACCACTTAAACACAACCTCCTAATACAGCAGCTCCATAGTCTATATTTGATGACAACCTCTTCCCTAGCCTGTTTTCCTAGGGTGCTGCTTGTGGAGGTTTTCTGGAAGAAGCAGATGGCTACTTAACATCAGAAGGAGGGAGAGAAGGAGGCCCAGATTCATCCCTAAAAATATCTTCATCTCAGATTGAAGAAACGAGCCTCCGCAGCACCACACATGCCTGCCTCTGAAGGAGCTCCAGCTGGTGAGCTCCATACAATCAGCATCCGCCTGACTGTTCCAAGAGGGCTGCAGGGCACCAGGTCTGGCTTCTCGTTCTTTCCAACCTAGCACTGTGCTTGAAGAAAAATCAGTATGGAACCAAGTGGATTCTTTGTGGGAAGATTGTCTGTAGAGAGCCCAGTGTGCTCCTTGAGTGTTTGAATGGCAAGGTGGAGTGCTGGGTGCTCTGGGAACTGCTCCTTACTTCCATGTACTCCGGGAAGGGGTAAAATCATGAGTGAGGTGTTTACAGTTTTCCTCCCAAGCTGCTATCAGAGACCTTGGTCTTTCAGGAGGAGGAAAGCTAACATCTACAGAGTCCAGTGACTTGGTCAAGTGATGAGGAGAGGCTGAGTAGCCCCAGGCCACCTTGGCAGCTATCTTTGGCGGACTTTCTAAGCCAGGAAATGGAAACATCGGAACCTCCCGCCAGCAGGCTCAGGAGTGTGTGGGAAACAAGATCACTGGGGCCTTGTTCTAGCCCCTTATCTTCCTGATAAGTCTCAGAAGGCACCATTGTTCATAAACATGTCATGTAAAACTTTTCAAGCTCATTAGGAAATCATCAGGCCTACCAGACTTTCAGAAGATTTTCTAAACACAGTTTGGGGAAGAAATGGCACCTGTCTGGACCTGCCAAAGTCAGGAATGTTCTCAGAGGTACCACAGCACCCTGAGGAATGTGTGCAAGTGGCCATCAATGTGAGAAAGTTGGTGCTGGAGAGCGAGAGCTGCAGTTCCAGGCAGAGGCAATAGCCCAACCAGATGTACAACCACCAGAGCAAAGAGACACAGCGTGGGCATGCAGAGGAAAGGGGAAGAAACAGGGCCATATAAATAGTCTAGCCCAAGCCCAAACAGCCTAGGGAAATAGACACATATATTCAAAGCCATTTGGGAAATCCAATGACATAATTCTGGTCCCTTACATACCCAATAGACCAAATGATACTGGAAAACCCAGTGCACCATCATGGCAGGCCAGGCCATGATGCTCATTCCCAAACACACTGGAGTGAGGGAGGCAGCTCTTAACTTGTGCTCCCAAACTCTCCCCAGAGCTGCTGGGTAGCTGCAAAGACAGGAATCCTCTTCTCTGTTCAGTCCAGGGTGGGAACTCACATTTATCTGTCTATCCATCCATCACATGCCCATCCCACAAACGTGTACCGTGCAGTTATGCTAAGAGTTGTCATAGCCAAGCAGTTTATAGCATGGACTCTGAAGTCAAAATGCCTGGGACTGCATTCCAGTTCTGCCTCTCAGTAATGGTGACCTTGGCAAGAAACTTTACCTCTGTGTGCAGTGGTTGCTTCATCAGTAACAGGTTGATAGTAATGGGAGATACATGCATAGGACAGTGCCAGGCACAGAGTAAATTATATACAAGAGGTTTCTTAGTCAATAGAGTCTATAAGAGCATGGATTCTGTAAGCAGCTCCAGGTCAGGGACCTGGCATCAAACATGTATGTGTTTTATCTCTCAGTCACACTTTGAGACAGGTGACATTATCCATACTGAGAGATAAAAGAATGGCATATTGGAGAAGTAGAGTGCTGGCCTGACATCTCCTAAGAGCTAGCACATGGCAGAGGGGATCTGACTGGTTGGCTTCCAAGCCTGTGTTTGGGTTTTTTGTTTTGTTTTGTTTTGTTCTTGAGACAGGGTCTCACTATGCAGCACAGGCTGGCCTCAAACTTGAGAGCCTCCTGCCCAAGCCTCCCAAGTGCTGGTATTACAGGCATGAACCATCATGCTGATGAAGACTGTGTTCCTTATATTTACAGTACTGTTTTTTCTGAACCTATCCAGGGTGGGGTGGGATCACAAGAAGAGAGTGGCCTAATCTCTGGGGACTGAATGAGCCCATGGGCAAACTTCATGGAGGAGGAAGCCCTTTAGTGGAGCCTTGAGAGGTGGGGGTGGGGACATGAGCATTCAGGACAGGGGCCAATAGAAACACAGAATCAGAAATGAGGCACAGGACAAGAGCTGCAAAGACTTTGTCCTTTGCTTGCTGAGCGGTGCTTACTGAGTTCCTGCCATGTTCCAGGCCTCTATTCTGGGTGGAGGGACTAAGATAGTGAATAAAATGAAAACAGCCCAAGATGAAGCTAGAGGGTGGGCAAGGACCACATGGGGGATCCCCCATGTTTGTGGGGAGAAGGTCACTGAATAACTCCTCCATTTCCCTTATTTTGGTAGCATCCCTTGCCCTCCTGGCTACAGGACTGGACACAGCTTCCAGGCCTGGCCAACCACAGAGCCTCAGTGGTGATCAGTCCAACAGACATGCATTTGGTCCAAGCAAAATTCTTTAGAACCAATGTTTAGATGCACAATGAGAGAAGCTCTCTTTCCACAGAAGATGGGGTACCAATGAATATGCTCCACATGCTCCTATGCTATACGATAGGAGAGAGAAAGAGAAAGACCATGGAAATGAGGAGTCCAGAGGAGAATGCTCCAGCCACCTTTCTTTGCAGTTCTCTTAGCTCTGCCTTCCTCTGTATTGGCCTCATCTTCAGGCTGGTTTTCCTCACTGTAGCAAGTGCCAGCACTGTCATTGCCCACGCTTCCTTATCTAAAAGAGCACATTTTTGCCCCCGGCACTCCAGGCAGGAGTCCTGGGATCCACTCTGACTGGATTGAGTCACAGGTCCACTTGAACCAATGCCATGGCTGGTGGAATGGAATGTGCTGATTGTCCATGCATTCAGGGCCCCTCGTAGAGCTGAGGTGGGTTCAGCTTTCCCTGACACATGCAGGCTGCACAGGATGGAGGTGGACACCAGCATGAAAGTCAAGGATAGTTAGAAAGGGAGAAAGAGGACTAAACGGTACATGTCAGGCAGTTATAGCAGTCTGTTGGGCTCCATCCGTGCCAGTGGCTTTTTAGTGCAAACCCCTGTGACTCTGCCTTAGGTCTCTGTAGCACACAGCTAATTCACAGGGCTCGCTGGAAATACTGGAGATTTAACACCACCAGGAGCAACCTCCAACCTAGGGTAGACAAAGTTTCGGGGAAACCATGTCAAATTTCTCATCCCTCAGGGGTAATGTCTTCAGAATCTCTGTCTCTGTCCCAGAGGTCCCCAGCAGGACCCAGACTCTCAGGTGCCCAACCATAGTTAAACTTGTCCATTAACACACCCTGATTTGACTTCCTATCACTTTCCTGTCACACTTACAGTCCCTTGCTGGTGCTTCCTGGGATTACTTCTCAATGAACTGCTTATATTCAGATTCATATCCCAGAGTCTTCTATGAGGCAACCCACCCTAAGACGGGCAGGTCAGCTTGTTAGGGTTTGGATCTTAAATGTCCTCTAAAGGCCCATATGCTAAAAGCTTGGTCACCAGC